ACATTAGTGTACCTTACTGTTTATCCACATTAGTGTATCTTACTGTTTATCCACATTATTGTAACTTACTGTTGATCCACATTAGTGTACCTTACTGTTTATACACATTAGTGTACCCTGCTGTTTATCCACATTAGTGTACCTTACTGTTTATCCAAATTAGTGTACCTTACTGTTTATCTACATTAGTGTACCGTACAGTTTAGTGTACCTTACAGTTTATCCACATTAGTGTACCTTATTGTTTATCCATATTAGAGTACCTTATTGTTTTTCCACATGAGTGTACCTTACTGTTTATCCACATAAGTGTACCTTACTGTTTATCCACATTATAGTATCTTACTGTTTATCAAAATTATTGTATCATGGTGTTTATCCACATTAGTGTACCTTATTGTTTATCCACATTAGTGTACCTTACTGTTTTCCACATTAGTGTACCTTACTGTTTATCCACATTAGTGTACCTTACTGTGTATTCACATTAGTGTACCCTGCTGATTATCCACATTAGAGTACCTTATTGCTTATCCACATTAGTGTACCTTACAGTTATCCACATTAGTGTACCTTACTGTTTATCCACATAAGTGTACCTTACTGTTTATCCACATTAGTGTACCCTGCTGTTTATCCACATTAGAGTACTTTACTGTTTATCCACATTAGTGTACCTTACTGTTTATCCACATTAGTGTACCTTACTGTGTATTCACATTAGTGTACCTTGCTGTTTATCCACATTAGAGTACCTTATTGCTTATCCACATAAGTGTACCTTATTGTTTATCCACATTAGTGTACCTTACTGTTTATCCACATTAGTGTATCTTAGTGTTTATCCACATTATTGTACCTTACTGTTTATCCACATTAGTTTATCTTACTGTTTATCCACATTAGTGTACCTTACTGTTTATTCACATGAGAGTAGTTACTGTTTATCCACATTAGAGTACCTTACTGTTTATCCACATTAGTGTACCCTGCTGTTTATCCACATTATCGTGAGGCAAACGAAACAAGTGAACATAATCTATTACTTTGTCGAGATTATGAACGTACTTGACAGGTTAGTTTTTCTTCTATCCAGGATTAGTTTTCCTGTTGAAGTTCTACTGTTTGGTGACAACAATCTTTCTTCTGCACGAAATATAGATATATTTGAATGTGTACTAAGTTTCGTTATTAAATCGAAGCAATTTGTTTCACATGCAAACTCATGTTTACAACTTGCATTGTATTTCTGAAGTAGCTAATGATGAAGCGTTGGTACTCTCTAATTATGTAAATTGTAGCTATTTTGTTGTGGTACACTATTTGTTTGTTCCTTTTGAATATGACATCAGTTTCACACGTTCTTTTTTTCTTCCTCTCTCCTTCATTTTTACATTCTCCTACTTCTTCTCGGCATTAGAATATTGAATATAGAATACCATTTGTATTCATATTGCTAAATCAAACTTTCTTCTTGTCCATGTTAATGCTATAAGGGGAACATATTTGTATAAGTTTTCAAAACTTTAAGTTTATCTTTTTCTTTTGAAGCTATTTTATATTTGATTTTCTGTGATGACGCTATTTTATATTTGATCTTCTGTGCTGACGCTATTCTATATATGATCTTCTGTAATGACGTTATGGGAAATTTTATCATTGTGTTATGACGCTATTTTATTTGACCTTCTGTGGTGACGCTATGGTAAAACTGATCCTTGTGTTTTGACGTTGTTTGATATTTCGACCTGTAATTACACTATGATAGTTTTATCCTTGTGTTTTGCAAATGCGGTATATTTTGACATGATGCACTGACGCTTGTTAAACTTGAACTTTTTGTGTGGTCGCTTTGGTAAATTTCATCCTTGTCAGTTGGCGCTATGGTATATGTTTCTCTTTTGTATTGTCGCTATGGTATTTGTATCCTAGTTTGTTGACGCTATGGTGCTGTTCAATTAATTTTTTTCGCGTGTAGAAATGTTCGCGATATGACTTTTTAAACTGATCGCGATTTGGACATTTTCGAGTAGTCAATGGTTCTGATATTTATGCATTATATATATATATAATCTATATAAAATTAAGTAATCAAAAATATAATGCAGTTGTTATATTGTTTTCTTTAGCAGGGACGCTAAAGCAGTAATTTATCTAAGCCACAATCCTCGCTAATAGACCAATCAATCTCGATACTAAAATGTTTCAATAAGAGAAATGATTTTATTTATGATTATTTTACTCATTTTACTCATTTGAATTAGAATGTTTTAGAAAAAGTTCAGTTGTTAACAGAATTCCGGACTCTACTCCAATTATATTCTAGTGTTCAATGCGAGGCCAAGAGCCTTAAAGCGCCTTTTCTGTTTATTATGGTTATTACATGTCACAATATCAATGGAACCTTAATCACAACCTGACAACCCGCTTGCTATTTGAAACAAATAAGAAGTAAGAAGACCACAAAAAATTAGCATATCATTACAGTTGTATGTTATAATTGTCATGTGTGTACAGTGATATTTATTTGTTTGTTTATTTATTTTTGTGAAGTTACTTTGTCAATAAGGCTGCCGTTATATTGAACCTGAATCTATACAGTGTATGTTATGTTTTTCTTAATAAAGGAGAATTACGGACATTACAATGTTTCTGATACCTACATGTACAATGAAAAGATACACTCTTTGGAATGACGATTAGCTTATACAATGAAAATGAACACGACTAGACTTTAATTAGAGTGGAGTCTGGAATTAACTTAACAACTAAACTTTTTCTAAAAAAAGCTAATTCAAATGAGTAAAATAATCTTTTCGTTAAAATATAAATTATTTTCTATAAAATATAAGTAAATATTGCAAGTGTTCACCCCATCTTTAAATGATTCAAATTATTCGTAAAGTCAAAATGAAACACAGTTACACATGGAACATCTTAGTGTGTATTCCGTCTTTGCGTATTGCAGAGTTATCTTCTCTTGTGAGCAGTATCGATTGTTACGTCATCGGTTTGTGTGAGAAAATTACGTCGTTTTCTAAAAAATTGATGACGTTACTCTCACAAACAAATGACGTAACAATCAATACCTGCTCACAAGAGAAGATATCTCTGCAATACGCAAAGACGGAATAGGAACAGAACTGTTTATTTCAATATTGATATTTGTAACAGAAATGACTGCTGATGATTTACCCCTCGGCCCCAACAAACTTCTCAACAACTGACAAAACTGAACAGATCATTTTTAACCAGTTTCGTCTACTTGATACTTATACTTTTAAAGGGGCTGACACCAGCCCTTATGAATTCATGGAAGGGATCTCACATCCTCTAGTGAGGCGACTGTATATATCTATTCAAACTGCAGCCACCAAGATTACGACAAACTTTTTTCAAAGAAATGTCCATCTAATTCTTATGACTCAATTCAGCCTTACATCAATAACACAGATAACATATCATCTTCGCCATTACAGATTATTTCAAGTTCCTATATCTAGAACTCTGTTAAGGACTGTTAATTCACTTCTTCCTCACTGTTCCCTACATGCTAGCCAAAGACAATATACTCAGCCATGTTTTAAATGAATTACCTCACACTCGTTTATCTCACTTAGTATTTTGTATACATTTATTTACAAATTATGTTTGAAATGGATAATTTAAGGAAAACATGAATCCTGTGATTATTTTATGATTTTATAAAATAACTCGGGAAAGTTACGATTGCATAACAGTGTGTTTAGCATAATTTAATGGAATGGAATTAACAACAAAATACAATACAATTCGGTGCGAAATGTCACCTTGCAGTATTCAAAGACACCAAGGACCTTAAAGCGTCAATTCTGTTTATTATGGTTATTACATGTCACAATACCAATGGAACCTTAATCACAACCTGACAACCCGATTGCTAATTGAAACAAATAAAAAGTAAGAAGGCCACAAAACATTAGCATATCATTATAGTTTATTTGGTTATTATTTCATATCTTAATAGAAAAACGATATGTTTTATTAAAATGATAAAGAGAAGTAAACAATCCATAATTAAGTACAGTTTAAGAATGATTAGATGAGATTTTATAAATAATTGTGTGTAAATAGATATAAATGTATATTAGAATATGACTAACAGAATATGTTTATGTATACATGTAGATCAAAGGCTTTAATAAAACCCTTATTATAATTGTCATGTGTGTACAGTGTTTTTTTGCAGAGTTATCTTCTCTTGTGAGAAGGTATTGATTGTTACGTCATTGGCTTGTGTGAGAAAATTACGTCGTTTTCTCAAAGATTGATGACGTTACTCTCACAAACAAATGACGTAACAATCAATCCCTGCTCACAAGTGCAGATAACTCTGCTATTCCGTCTTCGCGTATTGCAGAGTTATCTTTTCTTGGGAGCAAGAATTGATTGTTACGTCACTTGTTTGTGAGGGTAACGTCATCAATTTTTGAGAAAACGACGCAATTTTCTCACACAAATCAATGACGTTACAATCAATACCTGCTCCCAAGAGAAGATAACTCTGCAATACGCAAAGACGGAATACGAAAAGACGGAATAGAGCATTCGTCAATAAGGCCCGTTATATAGAGCATTTGTCAATAAGGCTGCCGTTATATAGAGCATTCGTCAATAAAGCTGCCGTTATATAGAGCTGTGTCAATAAAGCTGTCGTTATATAGAGCAGTGTTTTTCATGACATATTTGAAATGCTTATGATCTGATTGCTATCAAATATATAAAGATTGCAAAGCTTAGATATATTCAGGAAAAATTGTTTCTTGGAAATCAAATTAATTGAAAACGTCGTATTATTTCAAGACGACTTGATTTCCATGTGTATTTATTTTAATTATTAGATTTATACAAATTACGCCGACTGGGAACCTACTAATTGTAAAATTGTATTTTGTATTACCTCTACCTCACCAGGTTTACACCACTACGAGTATAAATAAATAAAACAGGAATACCTTACATGTCTTCATCGTATTATTTAATCTCATTATTTATACAACAACTATTCAACAGTAAAACAAAGATATACACATGTAAACACAATAAACCAAACAAACTGTAACGATGACAACAGGAAGTCGTTGGTTACAGATCTGACATTCTTAGCTTCTGAATACCAGCGTTTTAAAATCAGTTGTTGTGTTTACAATTAACAACTGTTTATCAGGTAATACTAGGCTCAATTCATATTAACCATTTCAATAAAATGAAGTTATTAACATACATTTCGTAGTGACGATATATAATCCGTTTGTGATGTCTCTTGTTCCTTATAAAAAGTAGCCTATTTCCTACATTAATGTCACACATTCTACACGATGACGCCTCACACAGTTAGTCATCATATTCCTGCATATAAAGTCACATACAGTACATTCCCTTATTCCATAAAACGATGTTAGACCTGTCCTTCTGTATGAAACAGTTCCTCTCATGTGATATGACACACATAGTATAATCACACATGCTATATACGACTGTATCACATAATGTTTAAACTGGCGTCATTTTCGGAATCATGTTCTTCAGTTTGATATCAATAATACATATTCTGTTTGTTTTGAATACAGACACCTATTAAAAACTTCATTTAGTGAGCTTTAAAAATTCCTCTTAATCCTGAGTGCAAATGACCAATTCTCGACACCGCTGAAAACAACCCACGAAGCCACTAAATGTGTTCAAAACAAAAGGGAAACATTTGTTACGTCATTTTAACGACGTATCGTCACACATTTAAAAGCAATGCCGTCACATTATTGTCATTTCACTGTTTTTTCTTCCTATATCTCAATAATAATGTGCGGCCTCTGCAACCTCCAAATCGGCCTTATACGTAGGACAGACTGATTGTACATAGGAAAGACTGATTAAACATAGGACAGACTGTTTGTACATAGGACAGACTGATTGTACATAGGACAGACTGTTTGTACATAGGACAGACTGATTGTACATAGGACAGACTGATTGAGCATAGGACAGACTGATTAAACATAGGACAGACTGATTGTACATAGGACAGACTGATTGTATATAGGACAGACTGTTTGTACATAGAACAGACTGATTGAGCATAGGACAGACTGATTAAACATAGGACAGACTGTTTGTACATAGGACAGACTGATTGTAGGAGACGAAGATCCTACATGTGTTATTTAGAAAGTATAGCACTGTTAATTAGAGAGTAGCTCAACACACGAAGGTACCTATACAAACACAAATAAAAAAAAGAGTAAATAAAACAATACTTTTAAGGGAAAAAACTGTAAACAAATCTAGCATATATCTGTGTATAAGTTAATGGGAATACAATCTTTGGCAAGTAGTCGTGGCGATCAGGCACTGTATTGTATATGAATTTAGCACCAATGGAGTAAGTTATTCCAACATTAAACTATATAAATGTCATTACTTATTCGTTGTCCATCCATCGCCACCTTAGGTCCTCGTAAGATTTATCAATCACGAATTCCGTGTTCGTAGTCTATACCAAGTTTCCAGGGTCTTATCGCTCATAGAAATCACCTGAAACAAACACAAATTGTTTAGTCAGTTATTTGGTAAGATCAAACATCGTATCATTAGTTGAAACTACTAGGTTCATATTTTCTCATATTTTCCATTACTTTAAATTCCACATGATTCCTTTGTCAACATATTTTGTAGCAATTTTGTAATGAAGAAAAATTCAAATCAATGACGCTACAATATGTGATATTAGAAAAGTATATAATGGAAGATAAAAAAATATATCAAAAATTTAACAAAAATAAGAACAAAAGATACATCTAAAAAATAAGAGAGGGATGTTGAAACTGGAAGTGACACCTATAGCTGTTATTAAGATAATTTCTTCAGGATAGTTAGATAGAATATGTTTAGCTTTATAATTATATGCAAGATTAATATAAAGCAATGGAAAACGCGATGACGACCTGTGCAATGTATGTAAAGAAAAGGGAAAATACCATTACAGTATCATTGATATGGTAATATAGGGGAAAGTAAACATTTTTCAGTAACTTTTTCAAAAGTTTGCTTCTGATAATACTAAATGAGGAAGTAATCTATGGAATAGAAATGGCCTTGATATATTTGAATCATCAAAATGAACAGAAAACGCAAAAATATACACATTGTATCAAATTGTATATTCTTGAATAACATTGTAACATGTTATCATTTTTGACGCAACTTTTGAAACTGTTATATCATTTATCAAGAATATGTAATAGTTAATGACTTGTAACAGGTTATAATTATTAAAAAGTGCTCTGTGAACCACAATCCTTATAAGGCTGTTACCGGTCCTTTATTGATAAGAATAAAATAGATAAACGCGTATCAACACGATAATAATAATGATAATAAATAATAATTCGAGGTTCTTATATATACAGCTTTATCACAACCTACTACGTAGTCGTCTCAAAGCGGTCCACAAATTATTATCAGTGGTTATAGGGCATTTGCAACCAGCCAATATCTGCCTCAACTCCCTGGGGAGCTGCCATTTCGGCGCTCACAACTAGCATTCTACAATTCTAGCACTACCCAACCACGTACTCATTTACAGCTGAGTAGACTGGAACAAGCGGAGTAAACACAGAGCCGTACCGTGACTCGAACCCGAAACACTTCGGTCACGAATCCGGCGTCCTACCACTAGACTACTGTGACCCCCTAACCCCTACACGATGCTTAGATAAGTATGTCGTAAAGAGATGTTTAAAAATGATAACTTCACGGCAATTGACAGATCTAGAGTGAGATATAAAGGAATAACGTGTCTTGAAAAAGACAGCGGTAACGCGAAGGAATAAATGTGTTGTAGTTTATAGCGAAGTAGGTTTATAAAAAAAAAAAAAAAAAAGAAAAACGAAGAAATAAACGATGAATAAAAATGATCCTGTACGATAGCGATAATACTTGGACGTTGGATACTTATCAATATTCATGCTATATATGGTATACCGTTTATCATTATAGATATGTATGCCTACTCATCATCACTTTAATCAATGATTACTCCAAAAAGTATATATCCATAAACAAATAATTATAATTATTGTAAAATCATCATTCCTAGGGAATTTTACCGACCCCTTGGTTACCTCAGTCTCTTCTGTCATTCTTTTATTGCAGTAAATAGTACTATTATTTGTCGGTAAACACCCCCTTTGTATAATATTTCACTTTAACTGATATTTGTGCATCCTATTATGAAGACGCAATTTGTTATTTATAAGCTGGTACTGATGAATATAGGTTATCTTTGTTCAATTCTGCGTATTTCCCGTTTTTTAATACCTGCTGGTTAGTAACAGTAAAAATACATTTCACCAATTAGTGACATTAAAAGCATCAATTTCTTTACTTTGTGCATACGTTTACAATAAAGCATAGCGAGATTGGTCAATCATCAATTCGCCAAATTTGCTTTATTACTAATGTGTTCATGTATTGTTTTTCTGTTAACGGAATAACCCTGGATTCTAAATACGTCTCCTTTCACCTTGATGCTATATACATCTGTTCTACATTAGTTTGTGGGTTTCCCTCCATGTGATTTAACAAAACATATAAATCAACTCGTGATGAAGTTATATGCCTCGTATTTGGATAAGTTTATACGAAGTCATGTGCTTCAAAATAACAGGATAAGCAGACTCGGCAAAACATATTTTTATAAACCTTTTGGGGGTATTATTTTTCCGAAAATCAATTTCTAGGCCATGGTTGTTGATGTGTCATCTAGGCCATAAGGATGTGTCAGAATCCAAATTTTGAAATTTGAAATTTTGCAATTTGAAATTTTGAAATTTGATTAACATTCCCGAGGGTAAAAATATATATATCTCCCTTTATCGCAATCATTTATACTAAAACCATTCTTTACCGAATTCTTGAAATCATTTCATACGTATTCATATTGTACTCACATAATTTATTTAATTATTAATTAAAACGTTTCTTCATGAACAAAGGAACAAAAACTAATATAATATTTAATATGGAAAGATATATAACGAAAGCTGGTATAAACTCATATAGAAGATTATACATAAGAATACAATGTAAACTGTTTTTATACATAATTAAACATGATTCATCGATATAAGTCTTTATGGACCAGGAGATTGATTAAGTTCACGTGACGTCACACATTTATACCATCAACATATAAATAAGAACAAATAGTTTACACTTCAAAAACCGCACAAACGAACAAACGGACGGACTAGACATTAATAACTATAGATGAAAGAAAGAAAAAAACGAAGAAAAACGAAGTTTTATTTCTTCACTGAATGAACACCGAAATAGGCCAAGGTTAAATTGATATAAATAAATACAATTATAGCACTTTACTCACACAAATTTTAAATGTCTAAAAGAAACTCAAAACAGAACAACATGGACTAAAATATAAAATAAGTACACAGGTTATTGTTCTATATTCGCTTAAAATGAACTTCGTTAGATAATAAAACAGTTTTTTTAAATGAAAACATAAATCCCCGCGATTCATGATGATCCATTAGTTTAGTTTAAACATATTTATTACCAAAATTAGACAAGGGATTAGGCACAAGTTATAACAACTTATCAACGCTTTCTCCCAATATACATTTGAAATGACATTACAATAATGACAATAAATATATACAATTGTTATGACAATTTGCAAAATCTCTTGCTGGATTTAATAAAGTTTTGCACAGATCTAAAAATGTTTGAGTTTGATCCATCCAGATATTATACACAAAACTACTCGCCTTTCTGTGAAAACATAAGAAGTGTATAGAAAATAAAGGTATTACATAGGGATTGATAGGAAGAAGACTAATTAAGTCCATTACTTTGCTTTTAATCGTAAGGGTTGCAATTTCTTGATAATGTATTATTTCGCTCTATAAAATATAGAATGTTCACAGGTTTAATTTTCAAGATGTAATAGCTTATTTTTTTAAAACAACTACTAAGCATCATGTGTTATAAGACATTGCAATGTCAGGTTTTCATTAATGTAAAAAACAAGTATTTCTGTATATAGTTTTAGTTTTATTATATCCAAATGCAATACAGCATATAGGTTACAAATATACATGATTAAATATTCAAAATTCATATGTAATGCACAAGATGGCATTCAAATATATCTATATACCTACAGACATGTATTAATGATATCAAGTGCAGTTTTACAGCATGATATTTCGTAAAGTTGTTTAAAGGACAGTATATAACAATATAATCATATGTGTGACGTTACTACATGTATATAAATACCATACTAATATACATATTCCGAGAGACTTGGAAGTCATACAATCGGACTATCAATGTGTTGTAGGCTTATTCTTACTCTTATTTCAATATTGTTGACTTGGGGTACTGAGAAAAAAATAGGAAAAGTGGTACTTTACGTGTTGTGTTTATACAATATTTATAGTCGTTTACTGAACAAGCTTTTCAGATCAGTAAATCAGTTGGGGAGGGGAACAATATAGAAGTCTTAATGAATTCCTCTCTAATATAGTAACATAGAGATTATTAGAGTTATTTGTGTTATTTGTTATATCTAAACTACCGCCTATTCTCCCTTTCTCGTCCACCTACTTTTGGGTCGTCGACCTTATATATATTCAGATCATAATATTCTTGCCGAATTGTCCAAATGTAGCACAAATTAATCTATCAAACGATTAAATTATTTAAATAGCAATATAAATATATCATATATATATTCTATATAAAATCATCATAGAGTACGTCATTATATCAATGTTTCATAGAATACGATAATTTATAGGATTACCAAGAAATACGGTGCCATATAAAATCTGCATATGATCTTAGCTGTTGTGTAGACCTTAAACTGCTTCAGAGCGCTTCTGTATAAACATATCATGAATAGTCGATATAAAATTCTGAGATACTACATAAAATTATCATAGAGTGCGCTATTTTAGTTTAAACCATATTTTTTTTTTTCAATTTTTTCATGTCATACATACAATACATAAGTATAGGATTCAGAGGAAAAAAGGTATTTAAATACTTATATGAATCTACTATTTTAAATTACAATTGCATACTACTACATATTTTTGTATAGTATACTCTACTACATGAACATATTATCATCATAGTACGCTACTACATAAAATTATCATAGAATACGCTTCTAAATACAATTATCATAGTATACACTTCTAAATAAAATTATCATAGAGTGCGCTTCTATTTTAAATTACAATGGCATACTACTACATATTTTTGTATAGTATACTCTACTTCATGAACATATAATCATCATAGTATGCTACTACATAAAATTATTATAGAATACGCTTCTAAATACAATTATCATGGTATACACTTCTAAATAAAATTATCATAGAGTGCGCTTCTATTTTAAATTACAATGGCATACTACTACATATTTTTGTATAGTATACTCTACTACATGAACATATGATCATCATAGTATGCTACTACATAAAATTATCATAGAATAC